GGGACACTCTTGTAGGAAACTCTTGTGGGACACTCTTGTGGCCCACTAGAAGCAGTCCTGCGAGCGTTTCGTAGGAGACGTCCTCCAAAAGTCACGCCTCGAGGCTGCAAGACGAGCGTTTCGTACGAGACTTCCTCACAAAGTCACGCGTCAAGTCTCCAAAACGAGCGCTTCGTACGAGACTTCCTCCAACAGTCACACGTCAAGTCTCCAAAACGAGCGTTTCGTACGAGACTTCCTCTCCAAAAGTCAAGCGGAAACACCCATCGGAGCACACTTCGAACTTGGGTTTTCAGTTAGACTCAATTGCCACGTTGGGAAGGAAGGTGAGGGAACGGAAAGGTGCATGGGTCAGCAAAAACCGTATTGTTGAACAAAGTTTCGACAGGTGTGCGGTGGCGAGCCTCTGTACAATTCAGCTGCATGAGAGAGCGGCAAAAGGTTTAAGGAAAAGTATCATGAACCACCATGGAATCAAAAAAGGAAAATTGGACAGCGTGAGCAACAGTTTCTTGGCAGGTACACGGTCAGACGTCTCTGACCGCATCCCATGACATCACTAGCTTCGTTGGCCAGCGTCGTGATGTCATGCGCTGGCCCCCTGCCTGTGAAATTCCCTGTCATGGTGGAAAAAGGTGGTGAAGGTGTGGAAAACCCTTGGAGTCAGGGTGCGACACACACAACAAGCCGTGATCGGCGCACAGACAGAGCGGTGGAAAAACGGATCTTTTTCTCTCAAAAACCGCCTGCGCACATGCAGGTCATGCCCTTTTTGGGCGTATACGTTGACCTGGGCTTCAGCCGCAGCGGTGGCGTTGTTGGGTGGAAACGTGTAGGTATAGATGGAGTGAAGTCTTGAAGCTAAGCCGGACAGAGCCAAGCGCTGGCTACCGGCGCTGGTGTGGTCCCTGATTTTCCAGGGTCGGGTGGGTTGTATGTATGTGACGGTGCGTTGCTGGAGGTCAATGTTGAAACCCAAAAGGTGAAAGTCCTCCACCGTCTCCAATTCGACAGGATCGCCGAAAAAGTTGTTGTGGATGAGGGTCTGGATGGCGGGATGTGAAAGGAAATGTTCATTGTGGACAATGAAGCGGTTGTCCACGTAGCGATAGTACGCGAAGTGGAGGGCAGTGTGTTGAAGGAGATTGTTGTGAAGTTGATGCCAGGAGTGTTCGATGAGGGTGATGGCAACGTTGCAAAGGGCAGGGGAGAGCTGGGAGCCAATCCCAGCTCCCCGAATTTGCTTGTAGGTGTTGTTGCGTGTCCGGAAAATGCAAGTGTCAAGTGCATATGCCACAATGGTTGTAATGTCCGCAGTGTGGATGGTGCGCTGTGTAGGGCGTCGTCGGTGGTGCCTGCCGATGTGGGAGTGGTGGAAAGGGTTGCCGGTGGCTTTGGTGTCAACAGTAAGCGTGTGGGTGTAGTTCTGGCGTTGCCATTGCTGGATGAGGGAGTGGACTGCGTCAATCAGGCGATGCTGTGGAACTGAGGTGAAGAAGCCCACAAGGTCGTCGTTGGTGGCGTGTAGGGGAATGTCAGGTGGGGTGTCGGTGAGGTAGCAGTGAAAGTGGGACCACAATTGTGGAATGGAAAGTTGGCCTGGATGCTGAGGAAGGAGGTGTTGTAGGATGATGTCAAGGGCTCGGCTGGTAATGCGGAGGAGATTGCCGCTCAAGGACTGAAAGTATGAGATAATGGTGCGGCCCTTTCTCCACTGTTTTTTCTCCTTGAGGTGAACAATGCCGTAGGGAATCGTGAAATCTTTTCTAAAGCCCCATTTGTAACGTGTGCGGAGGCTGGGGGGGATGGTGTGTGTCAGGTGTTCGTGAATGTTGGACAATTGGAGTGTTGGCATGGGTGCAAAGAGTTCCGGCGACTGCCAGGTGGCAAGCGCCCCGGCGAAGTATTGGCGGGGGCAGAAAATGCGTAGCTGTTGCAGTTCGTGATCAGCATGGTGGAGGACGACTTGGTCGCCCAGAAATTCTTGGAGTTGCCGGAGAAGGCGGGCTGTGAAGCGGGGTTGGTGTTTCAAATGGTCAGTATGGAGCCGCCATTGGTGCTGGAGGAAGGGTTCCAAGTGCTGTGTGAGCGAAAGGAAGTATCTGGCCTTGCTGGGGTAAAAGGTGCTGTTCATATTGGCTGCCAAGAATATGCGGAGGTGCGGTGGTAGTGCGAGTTGTTCAAGGGTGAGGATGTAGCGGTTGTCGATTGCGGGTGTGGCTGGATCAAGGAGAATGATTTTCAGTTGGGCGCATGCGCATGGCAAGTCACTGGAGGTCGGAGGGTTTGAGAGCGTACCCTCCCAGGTGCGGTGGTTGCGCAGACAATGCACAACACGAATGAATGTCAGAACTTTGGGTAGATACTCCGTCGTTTATAGCCCGGCGGCTCGAAAATCAGGAAATTCAGGGATAAAGTGAACAAGCGAAAGGTCAGTTATAAACAAGCAGGGTCAATGAAATCCGGAATGGCTTCGGCGCCTCCTTTCGGAGGGTCACACCCAGTACCCACGTGGGAAGACTGAGCGGTCCACACTTCGAACTTGGGTTTTCAGTTAGACTCAATTGCCACGTTGGGAAGGAAGGTGAGGGAACGGAAAGGTGCATGGGTCAGCAAAAACCGTATTGTTGAACAAAGTTTCGACAGGTGTGCGGTGGCGAGCCTCTGTACAATTCAGCTGCATGAGAGAGCGGCAAAAGGTTTAAGGGAAAGTATTATGAACCACCATGGAATCAAAAAAGGAAAATTGGACAGCGTGAGCAACAGTTTCTTGGCAGGTACACGGTCAGACGTCTCTGACCGCATCCCATGACATCACTAGCTTCGTTGGCCAGCGTCGTGATGTCATGCGCTGGCCCCCTGCCTGTGAAATTCCCTGTCAAGGTGGAAAAAGGTGGTGAAGGTGCGGAAAACCCTTGGAGCCAGGGTGCGACACACACACACACACATCACGCAGCCCTGCCAAGCAGTTTCGCGAGTCCAGCCCCTCCAAACAATACCCGCTCACACGCCAATCCCACTGTGACAGCGACATTCACCTCTACCACAACTCACGACCTCACGATTCCCTGCGCCTGCCACGAATCTTTCCGCATCCACACGTCTAACGCGCACAAAGTACTGCGCCTGCCGCGAAATGTCACCTCCGTCAACACCTCGCAACCTCACGATTCCCCGCGCCTGCCACGAAAATCGCACTTCCACACCTCAAAATCCGCACAAAGTACTGCGCCTGCCACGAAAAGTGACAATATCATCTCACGTGAGCTTCAACAAAATGTGCACCACACCACACGTTTGGAATGATTTCGACCCGTTCTGAGCACACTCCCATCCACCAAAATCGCAATTTCAGCTGAGACTTGTCACGAAAACAGCGCTTCGATGCCACACCCTGAAACGCAAATCACAATGGCACGGCCACATCCAACACCCCAAAAACACGATTCTCTTAAGTCTTAATCCCAATGGAACTGCGCAGTAAACTGCGGATCTCACAAAGCGCTGCGCCTGCGCAGTGAAATCCTCCAGCACACTTCAGCATCTTACATTTCCACACGATTCCTCGCTACTTCACACAAATCTGACACGTCACGTTTTCATCCGAAACCCCCTCCAAAAGCTTCCCCCAATGGCAGCGCCTTAGCGTCCTACTGCGGACGGTTGCGGGCGGTTGCGAACTTAGAAACACCGTGTCACGAACAAGGCTCTACCCCCAGACTCCAGACCCCCAGAGTTAAACGAGAACCCTTCGCTACGCATTCGGGAAAAAATCAAGTTTCTAGGTTGGAGGCCAGGGCTATTTTGGGTTGGAGGCCATCGCTATTTGGTTGGAGGCCATGGCTATTATTTAGGTTGGTTGCCATTGCTAATAGGTTCGGGGCCATGGGTATTAGGCTCCTTTCAGTGCTATGCTATTAGGTTGGAGGCCATCGCTACAGTAGGTTGGAGGCTATCACTACGGTTGCAGGCCATCGCTATTAGGTTGGTGGCCAAGGCTATTAGGTTGGAGGCCATCGCTAGTAGGTTGGGGGCCACTGCTATTAGGTTGGAGGCCATCGCTATTGGGTTGGGTGCCATTGCTATTAGGTTGGAGACCATCGGTATTAGGTTGGAGGCCATCGCTAGTAGGTTGGGGGCCATAGACCATCGCTAGTAGGTTGGAGGCCATTGCTAGTAGGTTGGAGGCCATCGCTAGTAGGTTGGAGGCCATGGCCATCGCTAGCAGGACAAGGCCATCGCTATTAGGTTGGAGGCCATTGCTAGTAGGCTATTAGGTTGGAGGCCATCGCTATTAGGTTGGAGCTAGTAGGTTGGGGGCCATTGCTATTCGGTTGGAGGCCATCGCTAGTAGGTTGGAGGCCGTTGCTATTAGGTTGGAGGCACTCGCTATTAGGTTGGAGGCCATTACGGAGGCAGCCAACTCAGTTTACCTCACTATTACCTGTAGTTTCCAGTTGGTTTGCTTGAAGTTTTGAATGCCTGCTGTGGTGAGTGATGGGTCATGTGACTGCGCTGTAGCGACTGCAGTTCATGTTATACTCACTCGCCTTTCATTCAGTTTGTTTGCAACTAGTCTGTGGATTTCAACCTTTTCACAACCGATCCTTGCAGTTGACTGGCCCACCTAAAGCACATGAACAGAGACGCCGCCCCGCAAATGCATGGCACACAAGGATTTGGTTCAAAAGGCTGCCACGGCACGGCCATAGCAGCAACCCTCAACCTAACGGGGGCCAAGAGTGAATTATTCAGCGGTCAATAGCGGTCAAGCATGGAGGAAGGTCCATAAACCCCTGACCTGACTCTGGCGGATGCCAATAGTTGAACGGCCACTCAGGCCACTGAGCAAACTTGGAAGCTCACACAGCATAGGCAACAGCAGTGGTTGTTCTCTTGGGACAGGCGCCCCCGTCCATCATCACTGAGGCGGCAAGTACACCAAGAAGCTCAACAACTAAGCGGCTTGAGCAATCAAAGGAAACACCTAGGGCTCCCACGTCACCATCCTCTCTTAAAGGAGAGAACGTGTTAGCAGTGGGCCCATGTCTTCGAGAAGGAGAGCGCCTTTACTGGTGTTTGACAAGCCGATGCCATCGCAACCCATGTTCTTGCTCTAACATCCCCGACATCCACTACTCTCTTGCATCTTAACCATCCCTCACCTATCCAGATCCAACTGGACCATCTCCACCTCCTTCAAATTCTGCAAATCATTTAAGGTCAATGATCGCCGATATTCAGGCACTCAATAGAAACAAAGTAGCGCACAAAAAGTTCAAAAACTCTCAGGGTTGATGTGAGTGCTTCAGCCAAAAGCAGATAGCAAGCACAAAACTATAAATGTATAACATACTTTTGTCGGGTGCACCAGATTGGAATCCTGCACGAGCAAGAAGAAGTGGACCGACAGAAGTTTTACAGCCTATGCAAATGGAAGTGCCATCTCTGGGAACATACTGAGCATACTGGGTCACAAAGTGCGGCAGTCGCAGTCGCCACACATCCATCTTGGAACCAAGGAGCATAGAGGCAAACGTCCCAGAAAAAGTTGGATGTCCAGTACCTGAACAGCACGTCTGGAGAACTTAAATCCTCAAAGACTGTGTGGCATCTCTTTCACTGACATCGAAATCTTTGGATTGAAGACGCATGCTGCCTGTTTACAAAATGCCAGATGACAAACAAAAATAAACACAATTACATATTACATTATATAGTTGTTTAGAGGGCACAGCTTCCAAACCCCCTAAACAAGACAACTGCGCGACGAAACGACACGCACCGTTTTCCTTCAGTCTTGAGCCAAAGCAAGTCGGGAAACCCAAAATGAGCATCACTGACATGACAGGTCACATGGAATGCATGGTCGTCTCTGAATGCCTTTGGGATGACTGTATTCTCTCAACTCCCCCCTCGGGCAGCATTCCATACCTGGTTGCTTCTATCAATCTACTTTCATGTAGCAGAACCGACGGCAAAGTCACAGATGCATAGCTGCTTCAACATGGCTGGCCATTCTGCAGGTGTGATTACCTTTGTCAGTCCGTTGGCTATCTGTTCTGATGTTTGTGTGTACCAAACAGCATGCATATGTTCATCTTGAAGGACCTCGTGCACAGAACTAACGTTTACACGATGCACCCGAGGTGCATGCCGCAGCTTGGCGGAATACCCTGTCTCCAAGATCTGCACCACCGCTTGGTTGTCCTGCCTATAGTTGACAGGAACCGGGCGTTGCATCAAGTGTTCTAGCATGGTTTGAACATTGAACACCTCTGTAAACATGGCAGTTGACATAGCAATCAGTTCTGCCTCTGGCGTGCTCCTTGCTACACTGGACTGTTTTCGACTGCTCCAATGCAAAGGGTATGTTGCACCACCAGTCTTGATTGCAATCATGATGCCACTTGTGCTCTTGGCACTGTGAGGGCAACCTGCAAAATCAGCATCTGTGTAAACCTCAATTGATGCCTCATGTTCATGAGCATGGTCGATCTCTCCAACCAAAACTTTGTCTCGGCTATGATGAAGATAACAGATGCATCGGTACAGCTGTCTGTCCTCAAATTTCGTCCACTGAGTGACCCTCGTTGTGAGACGGCCCACAATGAAACTGATGTCTGGCCGCGCCAAGCGTGATAGCCAGAGCGCTCGCATCAGAATTCGTGACGCCACGCCACTGAGCTCCCCTGTCTGTGACAGCTCCTGGTCCGTCATAGTGTTTTCAGGATAACTTGGAGTGCTGACCTTCTTGAGCGACTGTTGCTTTGTTCCAGTGAGCTCACAGTATGATCCAACGACTTGATCAACATATGTACGCATGTCAAATGTGATCTTTGTCTGTGAAGGACCTTTCTCAATGAAGTGTCTGCGTCCCAAAATCAAGAGACCTTTCGAGTCGATCTCTTGGAACGGCTCCATCTTCACTTTTGACGACAAGGCGCTCCAGAAGGAACCATGGCACGACCGATGACCACTTAGCGTCAAATCGTCTACATACACATTAAGTAAAAGGACATATTCATGATCTACATCACCCCCATGTTTGCTAGGATTCCATCGAAACAGGAAATTGCTGGGATGTTCCTGCATTTCAATCCCTCCAAGCGAAACAAGACATGAGGTGAGGTGATCTTGCCACCATCTTCCAGCCATTGGGTGGCCGTACAAGCTCTTGCGCAATCTGACTGCCAATCGGGCATCTTCGCCAAACCTGTTCTTCCAGTCTGGCAACCACAATTCGACCGGGATGATCACAAGTGTGAAGTCGTCCTCGCCAACCTGCTTTGCAAGAAGGCTTGAATTGCATCACTACATGTAACCATATGTTCGGCCAACATCCCGAACCACAAGGCGATTTGCAAGGCTATGATGGCGGTTGGACTCGTTGCAGTCTCTTGAAACAAAATGATGTTTCCTTCAGAGTCACGAATCCTGTCCCCTCTATAGACGATTCTACCTTTATATTTCCACTTTGCAGGCTCTAACTCGTAGTGTTTAATTCCACAGAGGGTCAACAAGTCAGCAACGTGAATTTTAATGTTGTTATTCCTGGCCCAAATTTTCCAATTGTGGAGGGTATCCACGGTATCATCATCCCATGTTTCATTCTGTCGGAGACCTCCGGCCTCGTTCTGAACAGCCTGAACGCCTTGCTCATCATTCAACCACTGACTACGAGTGAGGTTGAGAGTCACAAGTGCAGAACCAGTCACGACACAAGGTATGGAACAATAATACTTGTTGGGATAGAGGGCTTCTAGGATTATTGACGCCATTTCCGGGGTATAGTATGCAGTATGCGCTGCGTTACCACCCATGGCAGGTTCGTGTTCATGCTTCCCATCACACTTGCATTGATCAAGAAACTGGATGAGTCTGAGGTCGGTTGTGCTGACTGCCCAAGGCTTCTTTATCAGCTCACCTTTCTTCCCACGAAGGTTGAACGCACAGCCATGAAAATAAACTCGTTTCATGCAATGGCTTTTCTCGAACTCTAGCCATTGGGGATCTTGCCACAGTTCATTCTCTGCTGGCAATTCAAAGGCAACACGACCACCGTGACTCAGAACCTTATCCATGAACACTTCTGCACTACGTAGCAAAACAATGGCTTCTTTCTGTCTCTGCTTGAGTTTCCTTTGGAATGACCGTCCATGTATATGCTTATTGAGATGCTGCAATGGGCTGTGGTGCGTGCACACAATAGAAACCCACGTGTCAGCTCCTGCCATAGCATCAACCTGTCCCAGGGCCTGTGACAGGTGGTCAGGATCAGTCAAGTCCAACATGTCTCGACTAAGTCTGATGCAGTCCACATTGATGGATTCAGCAACTTGGCCCAGCACAGAGTTGTTGGAGCACGCGAACTCAAACAAAACATTATCCCCTGGAAGTCTGTGAAGCCTGCGGTATCGATTTCTCATCCGACAAGTTTCTACAAACACTTCATCTAGTTCAAGGACCTTACCGATGGCTGCATGTCCTGGTGGAATTCCGGCACTAAAAGGCAGCTCTTCAGACGGAACACCGGCAAACTCTTTGTCTACCTCTGGCAGCTCCACAACGGGTGTTGGCGGCACCGGCATGGTTGCTGGTGTTTCTGGCATGGGCACGGGTGTCTTTGCTCCCTCTTCCTTTCCAGAGGCTATGCGTTCTGCCCTGAGCAGTCCGTTGAACCTCGCCCGGCAAACTGGAGTGTGCTTACTATAAGTTGCTTCGAACCTACAGGCACGACAACCATCTGTTGCTCCAAAGCGAATGATACGTTCCAGAGTGATATATTCGTTTCGTTTCGTTTTGTTTTCAACGGCAGCATCGGAAAAGGGGATGTCAAGGGGCGCGATATCTTCCAAGGCTACGTCACCGAAATTGGCCAATGCAAGATCAGCTGCGCGCTTCAATGGAAGCATTGGTTCTTTTTCCTCGACAAACAGCTCTTCAGCTGGCACGGAGATTGCATTTGCATACCCTGCCCCCCTGTCCTTTACTTTACCGTAGTCAAGCGCAAGATATATGCCCTTGTGAGATTTAGGACCTGAATCGTACCTCCAGCCTGCAAACAACCCGGGTTTTGATGAAGGGTCAAACTTTCCTCTTTGAGAAGGGTCCACATAGTAGTGAACAAGCTGTCCCAACAACAACTTCCGACCCGAGAATTCGACTCCTACGGCTAGCATGTGACGAGTCTGGTCCTTCCCAGCAGCCTTTTGACGAGCCGACAGGATGGTAGCAGCATAATCAATGGAATGAACCCACAACCCGGGCACTACATCAAACCCTGCCTGAAGGTGACACGCTCTTGCAATCTCCTGCAAAGTTCGAATGTCCCTTTCTAGAGTGGCATTATGGGGGAATCTGTTCTCTAGAGTTCCTTCAAATGCACATCCCAATTGTTTGCATGCTGCTTTTGTTTCAACGGCTTGGTCGGACTTCACCATGATGGATGGCTGCTCATAGGAGGGACCTAGAAAGGCTAGAATGTTTCCAACGACCGTGGACGTGTCTCGCTTCGCCAAAGGAAACGCTCTGAGCCATCCTGAGTACTCATCTCTAATGACCTGAACGGCATGTTCCTTTCCTGTACTTAACTTCTGAACAATCACAAAATCAGTTGCAATTCTTTCTCCAAATGTGGTTACCGGGTCTAAAGCTCCTCGGTCGGCAAGCGGATCATGCCTAAACCTACGGACACGCTTTCGATACATCCGGGACCTTTGGCAAATTGGACATGATGCGTTTTTCGGAAAATGACACAGTTTATGCTCGAGGGAGTTAGCTTCAGCCACCAGTCTCCTCATCCGATCAATCGGCATTTCCCCTTCGGAGTCTGCATCAGATGATCCCCCCTCTTCCCGCACAGCTTCTAGAGCTCTTGGGACTTCTGCTGGAGGTGGAGCTGGCTCAACACCTTCTGAAGATGCACCTGCCAGGGCATATGCTGACGACATGTGAAATTCTTCTGAAAAAATAGGCACCCCGTCTTCTACACGATTTGCAACAATGATGGTAGACGCATCTGCTGCGACTTGCACGGACTCTGCATTGCGACCGAAATACGGCAATTCCCCTGGACACCAAATAAAAGGATAACCCTGCTCCACAAGCTTACCTAAGGATCTGACAAGTGGGCAATCGTCCATGATCTGGAAGTTGGCTTTGCCAAACAACGATCCAGGAACATCA